GATCGTTGGACGGGACCTCTGTGCGAGGTCCCGATCATGTGATCACTCGTTGGCCAATCAGTGATCACATGCAGAGTAGTAAGCAAGATGTCACTTGTGACATCATTGCTTACTACATGTGAAATCTGTGAATGATCAAAGAGGTCACATGGTATAAGGCTATTCACAAAAGCCTTGTACCATGTGACAAGCTTTGACCAATCACACTCACACAGTAGTTCTCAATGGCTGCAAGAATCCAGCTAGAGAGAAGGAGAAATTATTGCTTTTACAGCCTTTATGTGTGTAAAAGCAACCAGTGTAAAAAAAAAAATCTTCATCACCCCCCACAAGTAGTACAGTTTCACCATGGTGACACTGTGCTGCTAGGGTGACAGTATGTAAAAAAAAAAAAAAAACAAAAACAAATAATAATATAAAAAAGTAAAACAAAAGTTTAAAAATTATAATTTTTGGTTATAAACTAATTTGGGCTATTTTTTTTTTTTTAAAAAGATAACGGAATAAATTTTGGCCAAGATTTATGATGAAATGCTATTTATTTGCAAAATTTTATTAGAAAAACACTTTTTTTCAAAATTTTTGGACATTTCATTTACATAGCAAAAAAAAATAAAAATCCCAGTGGTGAATAAATACCACTAAAATAAAGCTTTATCTGTCTGAAACAAATGCTAAACAATTCATATGGGTACAGTGTTGCATGACCGCGCAATTGTCATTCAAAATGTGATAGTGCTGAAAGCTGAAAATTGGCCTGGACAGGAAGGGGGTGAAACTGTCCGGACTTGAAGTGGTTAAAAAGGAATCAAAACCTTTACCAAGTGATTATAGACCTGTTAGTTTAACTTCTATAGTTTGGAAGATACTGGGGAGTTTAATAAAAGACCACATAGATGAGTTCTTGCTTGAAAAACATTTTTTTTAAGCAACAGACAGCATGGATTCATAAAAGAAAGAAGTTGTCAAACAAATCTGATTTTTTTAATGAGAAATGTATTATTTTTATTATTATTTTGTGAGCAAAGCCTTGGACAGAGGGGTGGCGGTGGGCGTGGTATACTTTGATTTTGCAAAAGCGTTTGACACAGTTCCCCTCACACGGCTAATGTGTAAGGTAAAGTCTATGAGTTTGGAAAAATCTGTATGTAAATGGATAGAAAACTGGCTAAAAGATTGTATTCAAAGAGTAGTGGTTAATGATTCATACTCTGAATGGTCTAGGGTTGTCAGTGGTGTACCCCAAGGTTCAGTGTTGGGACCCTTACTTTTTAATATATTTACAAATAATATAGGGTCTTGGATTATAAATACCATTTCAGTCTCTGCAGATGACACCAAGCTGTGCAGTGGAATAACGTCCTTACAGGATGTCTTCAACTTACAAGTCGACCTCAATGCACTGTTTAATTGGGCAACTATGTGGCAAACGAGATTTAATGTTAATAAATGTAAGATTATGCACTTGGGGGATAAGAATATGCATGCATCATACATACTAGGGGGGGGTAAAAAACTGGGGGAATCAATGGTGGAGAAGGATCTGGGAGTTCTGGTAGATCGCAGGCTTAATAATGTCATGCAATGCCAAGCTGCGGTTTCTAAAGTGAGCAAAATCCTCTCTTGTATTAAAAGAGGTATAGACTCCAGAGAGAGAGATATCATATTACCCTGTACAAATCATTAGTAAGACCTCATATGGAATATGGAGTTCACTTTTGCGCACTAATTCACAAAAAGAACATTGGGGAACTGGAGAAAGTACAGAGAAGGGCAACCAAACTGATAAGAGGCATGGAGGAGCTCAGCTATGAGGAAAGATTAGAGGAACTGAATTTATTCTCTCTTGAGAAGAGGAGATTAAGGGGGGATATGATCAACATGTATAAATACATCAGTGGTTCATATAGTGAACTCGGTGTAGAGCTATTCACCCTGAGGTCATCACAAAGGACAAGGGGGCATGCTTTACGTCTGGAGGAAAAGAGATTTAATCTACAAATACAGAAAGGTTTCTTCACAGTAAGAGCTGTGAAAATGTGGAATAGTCTCCCTCAAGAGTTGGTTCTGGCCAGCTCAGTAGATTGCTTTAAAAAAGGCCTGGATTATTTCCTGAATACACAGAATATAACTGGATACTAACATTTATAAGTAAAGTTGATCCAGGGAATATCCGATTGCCTCTCAGGGGATCAGGAAGGAATTGTTTCCCCTACAGGAGCAAATTGGATCATGCTTTGCTGTGGTTTTTTTTGCCTTCCTCTGGATCAACTGTGGGTATAGGATTATAACTTGTTTTTTTTTAAGTTTTGTCTTTTTTCAGCCAGAGTAACTATTTAACTATGTAGTTTTAGGCATCTGCCGTAAAAATTAAATTTTTAATAATATAGTTAATATAATTAAGAGGTAATTACTTCTAAAGGAAAGCAGACACTTTAGTGTTTCCCATCAGAACACTGGGAGTGCACCAAGAGATTATAATAAAGCAGTCATTCCTATTCAGAACCAGTATACAAAAGACATGGTCAAACAATCCTTGTAATTCATATTGATCGTGCAGAGGGGATTGTTTTTCTCTCAGCCTGTCATTACTTTGTACAGGCTGATTTTTGCCTCTAAAATCTGGTTTCTAAAGGTAATCGCCCATGTGAAGGAAGCCTTAATGTTGCTTGTACCATTTTTTGCAAGCAAAATTACTGCAGTTATGAAAATCCCAGGGGGTCAGCAGTATTGGTATGCGGCACCAGCAATCATTTTACAATCAAGGTTGCTTAAGTTATGCATCTTCACTGTTATGTTTTGCTCTGTTCGCTGACTATTTCTTTACCAAACATGGCTACTAAAGTGGCTACCAACTACAATTTATGTTTAAAAGATAAAGCAGCACAAACCTATTGCCCTGAAAAAGTGTAAAATATCTACTTTAATATCAAACAAAAAAGTTTACATGGAAGTAATGTTATAAATTAATTGCTTTTCATGATGATGTAGCTTTCACGGTAGCAGGGGATCTGCAATCACAATTGCACATACGGTTCTACTGTATGTACAGTATATTTGATTATGTATATTTGAATACTAAATTGCTTTTAGACGATGCATATCTTGAAGATGTTTTTTAAATAGATGTACTAATCTCTGTAGAAAGTGACAATTTAAATGTAGCAATTCAGCTCTTGTACATATGCATGAGATAACATCATTATCTTAAATGGTTATAATGCGTATCTGGGTTTTATACCTGCTGCATCACAAATTTAATTATTCTGACACTTTTTATTTCAGGACCAATGACAGTCTGAACCCTAGCAATCTATTTCAGTAAAATTGCTTTTGTATATACAGTACATCTAGGAATGATAGATTAAACCTTCTGATTGTGCTGTTCTTTGACACTGATGCTTGTACTAGTACTGTGTATAACAAAGAATATAGATCTTAATAAAAATTCAATTTTATGCATCATGATGCAAACTTTTAAAATGTCTGATTGTTTTATTAAGTAGCAACATCTTTCTCAAGAAGAAAAAAGCCAAACTACACATACATATTAAGCCCTCAATCTAATCATTGAGTATAGTCAGCTTGAAACATTTCTAACATATAGCAAACAACAATAAAAATGACACATACAAAAATAAGAGTAAATGCAATGTATTCAATATATGCAGTCAAATCGGGTGAGTTTAAAAACATATTTTCTCCTGTCTCCTGCTGTCCTCTCACAGCTTTATAAAATTTCTCAACCAGCTAAAATATTTTAAAAAGTTGTTTGCAAATGTGTTCAATTCCAAACAGTATATTGCAGAGGCTTTACTCCTATGGACTTTTTCTACAAAGAGCTCTAAAACACATTCACTAAAATCATATATAATATAATTTTTAAATTATTTTTATTTTTATTTTAAAAGGATAAGTTCACCTTTTATCCAAAAATAAATAATAAATGCACATTTTTTTGTAGGTATGTTGTGCATTTATTATTTTTGGTTGTAGGAGCCTGGAAAGCATTGCACAAGCAATCAGTAGATTGCTGATGCCATGCAGGTCTCCTGCAGACTTGTCAGTATATCTGCTATCCTATACGGGATGTACGGGCAAGCAGATATACTGACAGGCAGAATCAATGAACTACCAGGGTGCTCCACAGTACCGTGGTAGTTTATTGAGAACTACAAGCCGACAGCTGCTAAGGGTATCGGGACTTGTAGTTCACTCAAAATGAGAAATTCTGAAGGACCCCCTGCACACTGGTATATATCCTTTCCAGCAGACTTTGCATTAAAGAATAGGGATATTTTGGTTCGCATATTGCAATACATGCTTAAGCTGGCCAACTGCGTCAAAGTAATCCCTCTATGGCCAGTCCTACTCTGCTCTGCCTACGCAAATGCTACTGTGGACACAATGCTAGCATAGGGGAAAAGACACAATGGGGAGGGCTACAAGGTTCAGGTCTGGCTACTGACCCAACAATACAACAAACAAGATATACCTGTGCTCAAATCCCAACAGCTACAGTGGTACATGCATTTATCTATCAGGTGCATAGTGGGATTACTTTGATGCAGTTTGCCAGCATAACCACTTGCCTACTGGGCACTTTTACCCTCTTCCTGCCCAGGCCAATTTTCAGCTTTCAGCACTGTCGCACTTTGAATGACAATTGCTCGGTCATGCAACACTGTACTCATATGTAATTGTTATAATTTTTTTGAGACAGATAGAGCTTTCTTTTGGTGGTATTTAATCACCTCTGGGTTTTTTTTTGTTTTCCTAAACAAACCTAAAACAACTGAAAATTAAAAAAAAAATTTCTTAGTTTCTGTTATAAAATTTTGTAAATAAGTAATTTTTCTCCTTCACTGATGTGCGCTAATGAGGCTGCAGTAATGGGCACTGATAGGCTGCTCTGATGGGCACTGATGAGGAGGCACTGGTAGGTGGCACTGATGGACATTGACATGCATCACTGATGGGCACTGAAAGGCAGCACTCATATATGGCACTAATAGGCGGCACTGATAGGTGGCACTAACTGGCACTGATAGGCGGTACTAACTAGCACTATTAGGCAGCACTGACTGGAACTGTTAGGTGGCACTGACTGGCACTGATAGATGGCACTGATTGGTAACACTAATAGGCAGCACTGATTGGCACTGATAGTTGGCACTGACCGGCACTGATAGTTGGCACTGAAAGGCAGCTCAGATGGGCACTGATATGTGGCATTAATGTGGCACTGATGGGCACTGCCAGTTGGCATTGATGGGCACTGACAGTTGGCACTGATGGGGCTACACTGATCATCAGGGCACACTGGTCATCAGTGCCCTGATGATCAGTGTACATGCCCCCTCTGAGGAATGCCAATTACCGGCTCTCCTCTCCTCACGAGCTGTCAGCGTGACATTTACGCTGATCGGTGATCCTCTGTGTCCCAGGGACACAACGCACCACTGATCACCACGCTGCGTGCCCCTGGGGGTATGTATGCACGGTTAGAGTGGGAGGACATCATATGACATCCTCCCAGAACAGGAGAACCGCCACCAACCGCCATTTAACCGGGTGGCGGTTAAACATGTATTGCAGTATGTGTGAACCAAATATCCCTATTTTACTGCTTGAAAGGGTATATCGCAGTGTGCAGAGGGCCCTTCAGAATTTCTAGTGTTAATATGTGGTTACATCCAGCGGCGGACTGACCATTTGGAAACTCGGGCACTGCCCGAGGGCCCGGGGTCAGTAGGGGGCCCCATGAGATGCCCCTGGTACCTTTCTCATAGGCTTTTTTTTGAGTTTGGGCAAGGACACAGGGGCCCCATGATCCCCTATTGCCCGGGGGCCCCATGAGTTGTCAGTCCACCCCTGGTTACATCCCTTTAGCACCTGATAGATAGATAAATGCATGTACTAGCTATTGGGATTTTAGCACAGGTATATCTTGTTTGTTGTAGTTCACTCATTCACAGAACACTGTGAATCAATGATACGACCATGTGGACAGAGCCCCACATGGCCACGCTGTTTTTAAAAAGTGACAGCCATTACAGGGAACTTCTCCCTTGACTTGACTTCTGTCAAGTTGGGGGGGATAAGGCAGCAGCTGCAGCACTGGGAACATGTTACATGTTCCTCCCTAAAAACGTGTTCCCAAAGGTGAACTTATCCTTTAAGGAGAACTCAAGACAAATATAAAAAAAATTAAATGAATAGTTTGTTAAAAGATTACATTCCAAAACCATCTTTTTCTGCAATCTTAACCTTTTCAATTTTCCCTCCCCTAGTGCTTTTTTTCTGTCACTGGAGGTCTTCTGATGGCCAGCATCATATAACCTACTTCCCCTGAACCCAGGTAGTCCTAGGCCTGCCCCAGCTGGAAAGTGATAGAAGAAGCAACGCAGTCAGGAGCTCATTTGTCTGTTGCTTTCCTTTTCTATCAGCATGCTTGTCAATACGGGAACTGACTGACTCCTTGTGCTGATGCTCTTTCCTCTCATACTCCAGACATTCTGTGCAGGGATCGGACAGGCTGGTGCCAGGCCTATTTCAGGTACTTACACTGCTTGCATTTAAAATACTGTGTACATTTGATGATGTATTAGCAATGACAAAGCTGCATTCATTTGTGTTTTATATCTGCCTAGCTAGAAAGTAAGACTAAAGTCTAAATATTTTTTACCTTGAGCTCTGGTTCACACTGATACAGTCCGGAATTCGCAGCGTTTTCTGTATGAATTCCACACCGCATCAGAATCGCACCCCTTTCATGCGTGTGTAAGTTAAGTTAACGACACCCCGAAATCGGTCCGCAGAATGCGGTGCGATGTGCAGAATGGGATCGCATAGGTGTGAATACCCATGTGATCCAATTTTAGTGCGTACCCAAAAAAGGGTCCTGCACCTTTTTGGTGCGGATGCGGTGCAATTTTAGCCATACATAATGTATGGTTTAAATCGCACGCACACAATTCGCATGTGATTTGCACAGGAATGCGGTACAGTTCCTGTGCAAATCACATGCGATGTACTGCACCGCATGAGTGTGAACCTACCCTGAAGAGGAGTTCCAGTTGATTTAAAAAAAATAAAAGTCAGCAGCTACAAAAACTGTAACTGCTGACTTTTAAAATACAGCCACTTACCTGTCCCATGATCCAGCGGTGTCTTCACCAAGGCTGGTTTCACCGGCCAGCTTCTCTCCCTGGCGCCGACATCTTCAGTGTGGGCACCCAGCTGTGACAGATTGTGGCTTCAGAGTGGGGTTGTGCCCACTGCACATGCGCAAGTAGCCCTGCGCTTTGTGAATGGTCCTGTAGTCTTCTGGGACCTGTCACGTGCCCCAGAAGACTATGGGGAGGAAGGGGGGAGGACAACTTCCACTTCCAATCCCCTTAGGTAGCAGGCACCTGTCAATTTCGGGTACCCACTCCCCAAAGGTGCCAATCATTAACGGGGAGCGGGGGACATTGCATTAAAGTGGAACTTCCCCTTTTGGATGGAGCTCCACTTTAATGCGTTCTCCACAATAAGGTAAAAAACGACCACCACTACTTGTTCCTAAACATTTACCTGGCCCCATGTCATCCTTCAAGTGTTGTCCCTGGCTCCACAACTGCTCCCCTCAGTTCCTGCTTTCACAGGGCAACAGAGACATAAGCTCCTGCTGTTGTCAGTCAAACGCCTGTAAGGTGGAAGCGGGGGCATGGCTTACAGGTGCTATGTGTGTCTCTGGATGCACACAGCCCAGCTCAGGACCCAACAGGAGCCACTTTAGCACCTGACTTGCTGCAGGAGGCACCTTACAAAAAGGAAAAGCCAACAGTGCTGGTGGGGACTGCCAGAAGGGGAGAAAAGCCACATTTTTGTGCAAATTGCACATAACAGGTAAGTATAACCCCTTTTTTATTTAAAAATAAAATGTCCTTAGCATTACTTTAAGCTTTAAATCTACAGATTGCATTAAAGGATAAGTGCAAGAAATAAAAAAAAAACAAACAAACATGCATACTCACCTATACTGTATGGCTACAGCATCGCTCTGAGCTGCCGGTCAAGCATCTGGGTGAATCCCAACCTTAAACTTGGGAGTTCCGCAGAGCCTGGAACACTTCTGTGACATCAGCCGACAGAGGGCTTTACCCATACTTGTCATTTAAATTAATTTAAATTAATTAAATAAATTAATTTAAATTAACGAGATCCTGGCATAAAGGATTTTACTCATGCTTTTCCTGTTACAGGGTGACAACACTTTGTCTTGTTTGAAATGTCTTCGTTTCACTATTATTCTCTAATGGTAAGCCATTTTGAAGCTTAAAGAGGAACCTCACCCTAAATGGGAAGTTCTGCTTTAAATGAATCAAGAAGTCACAGCCTGCTTCCCACACTAGACATGCTGGCTCCAGGGACCCGAAGACCAGTGAATAATGGGCTCGGGTGAGGATGCCACTGGATCCCTGGACAGGTAAGTGTCCTTAAATTAAAAGTCAGCAGCTGTAAAAGCTATTAAAAGTTGTAGCTGTTGATTTTTATTTTTTTTCTACGGACTGAAGAACCTCTTTAATCAGTTGCCGACCATATAGCTTAGTTATACGGCGGCAGAGTGGCCTCCCTGCGCTTGATCATGTACCTAGCATGTGATTTGCATGCTTGCTCAGGGGGCGTGTGCACACGCTCCTGGCGGACTGGCTGTGCTGTGATTTGTCACAGCACATGTCGAACATCGGGTCCTGGCCAATGATTGACTGCCGGCACCTGGTAAACAGCCCTGAGCTTCACTGAACACAGCTCTGTGAATGTAAACAACACAGAGCTGTGTTCAGTAACAGGGGATTTTGTTGTTTATTCATTCTCTGCTAATCAGGGAATGAAAACAACTAGATCCCCAGTAAAATTAGCACACACACACACACACATACACACATATCGCTCTAGATGTTATCCCCTTCCTGCCCAGCGTCATTAGTACAGTGACAGTGCATATTATTGGCACTGATCACTGTGATAATGTCACTGGTGATGTCAGAGGCAGCTATTCAGTTCCCCCCAGCTTCAGTTAGTGTCAGATTGCTTACCGCACTATCGTAGTCCCATTATAAGTCACTGATTGCCACCATTAGTATTATAAAAAAATAAATAAATACATATTCCAGTAAAAATCCCATAGTTTGTAAATGCTATAATTTTCACACAAACCACTTAAAATACCTTTATTGGGACTTTCTTACCAAAGACATGTAGCAGAACACATTTTGGCCACAATTTATTAAGAGATTCTTTTTTTGCTTTTTTTATGGGATTATTTATGTTTTATAGCAGAAAGTAAAAAATATAGTTTTTTTTTTCAAAACTGTCAGTCTCTTTTCGTTTATATAACAAAAAATACAAAACCCAGAGGTAATCAAATACCACCAGAAGAAAGCTCTATTTGTGTGAAAAAATTATATAAAATTTCATTTGGGGACAACATTGCATGACTGTGCAATTGTCAGTTAAAATAATGCAGTGCCACATAGCAAAAAATGGCCTGATCATGAAGTGGCCAGGCGCTGTGTAGTTTTGTGATGAAAGCAATACACCTTATATAGAGCTGTGCCTTTAATAACTTATATGGTAAAAAATAGATAACCAGCCTGTGGCTTTAAGAAGCCAGGTTCCAAGATGGAGGGCCCGTCCGCTCAGAGGGAAGCAGTGGAGAGTAAAATGCCTGTCAGTGCATGGACCACATGTATCCGACGTCCCAGCGTTGATGACGTCACCATGATGTGGAGAGACGGAGGGGAGGAACTCTCGCTGGAGACACAGCTTTAGAAGGAAGAGGCCGGTTGCTGGGACAACATGTTTCGCGCGCATGCGCTTTACCAAGTCTTGAGACTTGATAAAGTGCATGCGCGCGAAACATGTTGTCCCGGCAAATGGCCTCTTCCTTCTGAAAATGCGGCTCCAGCGAGAGTCATCCCCACTCCGTCTCTCCAAATTGTGGTGACGTAATTCAGGACGCTGGGACGTCAGATACATGTGGTCCCTGCACTGACAGGCATTCCACTGCTTCCCTCTGAGCGGACAGGCCATCCATCTTGGAACCTGGCTTCTTAAAGCCACAGGCTGGTTATCTATTTTTTACCATATGAATTATTAAAGGCACACCTCCATATAAGGTGTATTACTTTTATCACAAAACTACACAGTGCCTGGCTCCTGTTCATACTTTCCACAAACCGATGTGTTTTCACCATGGCAGCAGTGAGTGTTTTCCCCCCACTAATCACAGTTGACATATACCATTCACTTATTTCCTTTGGGACTCATCTGTGCGCTTTTATCCAGACTGGTCATG